GGTATGCCCACCCACAGGATCGATCCAAGGGGATCGACCTGCTCTGATAGCATGTGAAAGTTAGAAGAGAGTAGAGGTTGCACTAGCAAGAATGGGGATACAAATAGCAAACCCTAGAAGGGTTGTACTCGCTATAGAGCACCCCACTACAGGCTAGAGCATAAGATAACATTCTGACAGCGTCTGGAGGAGCTAGTTTAGTGGTACAGTGGCACGATTCCCGTTGCTCCACACAAAAGGGAACTATGAGTTACGTGAGTGCCTCTGAGCAGTTTGGTGTGGGCTCTAGAGTGAGCTTGAGCCAACAAGGATAGGAAGGCGAAAATCTTTTACACGTTACCCCTTCTGTACAATAATTATTTTGTCGCTAAAAGTTTTTTATATTTTGCACCGGCTCCAGGTCTCCAATTCAGTTGGCGAGGGGCACCCAAGATGGGGGAACCTTTTAGTACAGAGTTGAAAGTCCCTCCTCCAACCCTCTAATTCGCATTTCCAGGGTTACCTTTTTCATTCTTCCAGGTGTACATGAGGTGCGCACTGCGCACCAAACTGCAATTGTGACGCAGCGCGCGGAGGACACATGTGGACGTATTTCAAGTTCAACGGGCGGGAAGCTCGAGTAAGAAAAACAAGAACAAAAACATATCGACCAGAGATTCTGTTTCTGGAAAACGCTAGAACATCATCCACCCGCACAAAATACCACACACACATGTCAGAATCCCAACCACTAGACCATTGGGATAAAAGGGCTTTTTTTCAGTAGCGGGTCAGTGCGCCCATAACCCCCCAGGCAAACGCGCCTGTAACCCCCCCTAGGATCGATCGGGGATCTCACAGTGTAGCTCTACTGACACCCCCCCACACTGGGAGGCCCAGGACTGAGCACAGTGGCAACGGCCAACATGTGCATACACCGGGATTCGAACCCGAGACCGCTCTGATACCATGTCAGAATCCCAACCACTAGACCATTGGGATAAAAGGGCTTTTTTTCAGTAGCGGGTCAGTGCGCCCATAACCCCCCAGGCAAACGCGCCTGTAACCCCCCCTAGGATCGATCGGGGATCTCACAGTGTAGCTCTACTGACAACACACACCTGAAAATCCGCCACGCCACCGAACCGGACTGAAAAAAACAAGGACGGGGGAGGGAGATACACGCACCGCTTGACCAATGTGCAAACGCGCGATGCCAAAACCCACCTCTGAGCTTGAATCTGCGCCACGCCTCACCACGCCTCTGACCAACCTGTAAACGCGCGATGCCAAACCCTACCTCGGAGGTTGAATCTGTGCCACGCCTCACCACCTCAGCCTGTCACGTTCAAAGATTTCAGCGATTCATGCTGATGCACTTTACAGCAATCACGCCGAGGCTGACCAATCAGAACAGCGCGCGTCGTAGTGCCGATCGAATGAATGTTGTAGGGGCAAGACTAAACCAATCAGTATTAGGGCGCAAAATTGTGAGGTTTTCAAGAATCTAGCGTGACTTAGGAGCCATGGCTAGTTAGTGTCTTAGTAGCTTAGGTTTAGGGTTGATCAATGTCGAGAAAGTTGGAAAGGAGAATGAGGGGTTTCACTAGCAAGAGTTGGGATACAAGTACAACACCCTAAATTGGGTTGTACTCTTTACAGAGTACCCCACTGCAGGCTAGACAGCAAATACATTCTGACACACCCCCATAGCCAAAGTGGGGTGTAATCAGCACAATGAGCAAGCATAGAGCAAGAGTTCACAATAGGTAAGTAAGGCTAGAGCTAATCACAGAGGGCAAGTGAGGAGGAGGAGAGACTTGTTGAGATGATGAACAGAGTTAGGAGCCATAGCTAGGTAAGCCCTAGCTAGGCAAGAGAAGTTTAGGCAAAAGAGGAGGCTCACTAGCAGCAATGAGGATACATATAGCAAACCCTAGATGGGTTGTACTCGCTATAGAGCACCCCACTACAGGCTAGAGAATAACATTCTGACAAGGCTGTGGGGGAGAGAAGATGGGAGGCGACTGCTGACGCTGCAGACACACAGACGAGCTGCTGGCTCAGTGGCTACCGGAACAGCGCTCCGGACTACTGGAGTAACTGGCCCCGCGGCTAAAAGTAGCGGCAGACGAGCAACGGACCCACGGGCGACTGGCGACTACCGGAGATTGTAGCCTCTGGACTGCTGCTGCTGCTGACGACAAGACTGCTGCCTCCACTCAACCTCCCCCAGCTGCCCAACACCCCTCTCACACACCCCCTGCTCAAACCCTAGCCCTACACCTACAGCACCCCCTTAAACCCTAAACCCCAGACTCCCACACATCCACCCCCCTCAGCGAGAGCTGCAGCAGTGGGAGACGAAGGAGGAGGAGGAGGAGGGGACGGCATGCACAACCGACACCCCCACAACCATCACCCCCACACCCACCCCCCCATGGCTGCACCGGATCCAGGAGCGGCTGCTGCAGGGGCCAGGGGCGGCTGCTGCAGCGGTGGTTGCTCCAGGGGCTGCTGCTGCTGGGGCGGCTGCTCCAGTGGCTGCTGCTGCTGGGGCTGCTTCTCCAGGGGCTGCTGCTGGGGCGGCTGTTCCCAGGGCTGCTGCCGCTGGGGCGGCTGCTCCAGGGGCTGCTGCTGCTGGGGCAGCTGCTCCAGGGGCTGCTGCTGCTGGGGCGGCTGCTCCAGGGGTTGCTGCTGCTGGGGCGGCTGCTCCAGGGGCTGGTGCTGCTCGGGCGGCTGCTCCAGAGGCTGCTGCTGCTGGGGCGGCTGCTCCAGTGGTTGTTGCTGCTAGGGCTGCTGCTCCAGGGGCTGCTGCTGGGGCGGCTGCTCTCGGGGCTGCTGCTGCTGGGGCGGCTGCTCCAGGGGCTGCTGTTGCTGGGGCGGCTGCTCCAGGGGCTGCTGTTGCTGGGGCGGCTGTTGCAGTAGCGGCGGCTCCAGGGGCTGCTGCTGCTGGGGCGGCTGCTCCAGGGGCTGCTGCTGCAGCGGCGGCTGCTCCAGGGGCTGTTGCTGCAGCGGCGGCTGCTCCAGGGGCGGCTGCTGCAGCGGAAAGTAGGAGGGAGGGGAGGGGAAGGGCGCAGCCCCCATTGTGCCCTGACGGGCGACGTACTAGGGAGCCGCGCAGGTCCCCGAAAGTGCCTCGACGGGCGACGAGAGGGGACCGCGCGCAGGCCCCTAAGGCGCCGCGACGAGGCAACGGGAGGGGCCGGCTCGCAGGCCCCGAAAGTGCCGCGACGAGGCGACGGGAGGGACCTGCGTGCGGGCCCCCAAAACGCTGCGACGAGGCGACGGTCGGGGCCAGTGCGCGGGCCCCCAAGACGCCGCGACGAGGTAGGAACCCGCCGCGCGCCTCGGGGCGCACGGCTGGCAGAAAACCGCCGTGCGCCCCGAGCACACGGCGGGCAGAAAATCGCCGTGCGCCAAAAATATGCCACGCGCCTCGGGCGCGCGGCAGGACGATAGGCAGCGGAAGCAAGAAGGCAGCAGGAAAGTACCTGCTCTGAATACCATTTCAAGAATCTAGCGTGACTTAGGAGCCATGGCTAGTTAGTGTCTTAGTAGCTTAGGTTTAGGGTTGATCAATGTCGAGAAAGTTGGAAAGGAGAATGAGGGGTTTCACTAGCAAGAGTTGGGATACACGTACAACACCCTAAATTGGGTTGTACTCTTTACAGAGTACCCCACTGCAGGCTAGACAGCAAATACATTCTGACAGAGGTACCGGCCAGCACAGCAAGGGAGTGCCTCAGTGCCTGAATGTTGAGTGGTGGAATACTCGATAAAAGATGCAAGGGAGTGCCTGAATTTCGATTGGTGGAATACTCGATAAAGATGCTTGATAAATTCCTAGAGTTACAATAGGAACACATCTTTATTATTTACCTCTCCTTGTAGTACTTAGACGATGATCAAGGGAATTATTTAACATCAAGGTGTTTGGAAAACCCCATCAGTACATGGGCACAGTACAAAGGTTTCAGGTCGTTGTCGCGCCTACTTCAATAGAATTTAAATGCATTATTAACAAAAATATCGTCACCCACTGGAACTACATGGGCGACTCGCAGGATATTGTCCACGTCAAGTACGTGGTACTCATTCTCGCCATCCTCCCATGTCATGAGCGGGCAATGAGAAATGTGAGTGTCACCGGTGGCCTTGTAGAAGCGCACAAAGGCTAGCTTCTTTTGTTCCACCTCCCTCGTTTGTGGAACAAACGCATCGAGAACAAACAGCAGTAGCAGTCGAGCATGCCAAATGACTTTCTTGCTCGACCGCTCACCACCGCGAGTGACAACCTCCTCCTCACCCAGGATTGCTACATCTTTAAACCATGGCCTACCCCCGAAGGAAGAACAAGCGCGCACATAGTGAGATTGACTTGAGTATTTCGTGAAATCTTCGTCCCCCGCTATCGCCATCCCTTTCTTTATGCGCAGCTGGGTACTTAGTACCTGACCATCACTCTCCATGGTCTCCAAAATCTGCTGCAACTTAGACATGTCACCTGGAGCTTCTCGGATGTGTTCAGCCCATGCCGAACACTGTGGATAGGCTTCTTTCCAATTCACCTTGAAAGACGTGCTTGCAAGCGTGTTCTTTCCAGTATCAATGGCCTGCAATGCGAAGGAGGATATAATGAGCTCATCCACATCATTATGAAAGGAGATCGAACATGGTTGAGCATATGTGGTAGATTATTCAGTATGCTGCACACACCTGCTGCAGGGCGACCATTCGTTGTGCTCCATCCTCTGCCTTGTCATCAGCTGCACTTAAAATATGTAGCATCTGTGCCCGAACTGTGTGCTTCGCAATCTGGGGCATAGCATCTCGCTTGTTTGTTCCACGGTATGCTCGTTTCACGAGATGTTGGTGCAAATATTCTAACATGTTGGCGTTGTAATGAACGGGTACACCGGAACGACGAATGTCATCAACGACATGTGCGAATGAATGAACTTTGGTGATATTGAACTCCGAAGCTTGAGCATCACCAAACACCTCCTTCAAGAGTGGGATTAGCCTGTGTGCAAACAACAAACAGATTCAAGATAGGGAGCGAAACAGGGCACCAGTGTGAAGGCGGATGGAGCTGCAGGGAGGAATAGCAAGGGAGGGGGGAGCTGCAGGGAGGAGTAGCAAGGAAGGGGGGAGCTGCAGGGAGGAATAGCAAGGAAGGGGGGAGCTGCAGGGAGGAGTAGCAAGGGAGGGGGGAGCTGCAGGGAGGAGTAGCAAGGGAGGGGGGAGCTGCAAGGAGGAGTATCAAGGAAGGGGGGAGCTGCAGGGAGGAGTAGCAAGGAAGGGGGGAGCTGCAGGGAGGAGTAGCAAGGAAGGGAGGAGCAGCAGGGAGGAGTAGCAAGGAAGGGGGGAGCTGCAGGGAGGAGTAGCAAGGAACGGGGGAGCTGCAGGGAGGAGTAGCACGGGAGGGGGGAGCGGTGTCGAGGAATAGCAAGTGAGGAGGGAGCTGCAGTGGGTGAGGAGAGGGAGGATGATGGGCTGGGCAGGGAGAAGTTGCCAGGGAGGAAGTGGGAGCTGCATGGAGGTAGGCGTGGAGAGAAGAGATAGGCAAGTAGGGAGTGAGAAAAAGGGAGAGGGCGAAGCAAGATGGGATGAGAGGGTGGAGGAGGGATCAACATAGAGGGATGGAGAGGTATGGTTTGAGAGATGAGGGTGAAGGATAGAGTAGTAGGGACTGACCGATGAAGGAAGCAGAGAGAGGGTGGTGGACATGGAGGGTGAGACAAACATGGAGTGGTGGGTCGGAATCAAGAAAGGATAAGGGTGAAACCAGGGTGGAGAGATTGGGGGAAGAAACAAACAGGTGAGGCTTTGGAAATGGGTCGTTACTTTTTGATGGCACTGTCAAGCTCGGACAATGTGCCGTCGGTGTGATACCATCTTCAGCATGTCAGCATGTAGCAGTCCACAAATGCTGCGACTGCATCGGCAATCTTCTGATCCACAATACCGGCAAGCACGATGGTTGCGACCTGCATCACGGCGCGGTGCTCGAAAGCCTGGAACTTCGCAGAACTGGCAAAATAGCCGCCTTTATCCCGCTTTGGAATACGGAATCCCGAGATGCGGGTTGCATCACCCAGATCCTGCAGTGCCTTGTCAAGAGCCTTCAGCACTTTCGTGTCGTCCTTGTACATGACTCGAATGCATGACACGATGTGCATGAAGATGCCAAGGTCTAGCGCGTGCATGACTTCCACAAGCAGTGCTCAGTAGGGATTTCCGACCTCACTCCCTCCCAAGTTAAAACCCCAAATGGCAGCCTACACAAAAGGAGGGTTCAAAATAGATCAAATGATTTGCACAATGACTCACACACAAATTATGGCCTGAAGAGTGATGGAGATGGGGTGATGAGCGAGAGGGATGGGGTGGGGAGTGAGGAGGATGGACTGATGAGCGAGAGGGATGGGGTGGGGAGTGAGGAGGGATGAGTTGGATGAGTGAGAGAGATTGGTTGGCGAACGCATGAAAATACTTTGCAATGCATACAAGCACATAATGTGGACAACTATAGGTGCTGCGGTACACAGACATCCCCTAAAAGCACTCACTCTGACTGGGTGGGTGTTGATAGCTTTTGAAGCATTAGTTCTTGCAGTCGGGGTAGTGATGGCCAGCAACTCTTCCACCTTTGCTCGTTGTTCCGTTTTAGTTCGGTAAACCAAGGGGACTTGCATGTTGCTGATGTCCTCTGTCTTTACCAAGCATTTGTGGCACGGGAATTTTGCTTTATGACTTGCAAAAGTGCCGGCGTGTTTGCAAGCCTCAGGTTGATCCGCCACGATAGCATATACGAACGGATACATGACGTACTCAGCTCCGTATGGGTCTTTTACAATCATCCCCCTGTTTTGAAATAGGGGCAGCACCCGAAATACCGTGCATGATGGGCTGATGAGTGAGGGGGATGGGGTGATGAGTGACTGAAATGGGGTGATGGGTGATCAATGGGGTGATGAGTGCGAGAGATGGGGTGAAACCGTGAGGGAGATGGGGTGAAACCGTGAGGGAGATGGGGCGATGAGTGAGGGAGATGGGGTGATGTGTGACTGAAATGGGGTGATGGGTGACTGAAATGGGGTGATGAGTGCGAGAGATGGGGTGAAACCGTGAGGGATATGGGGCGATGAGTGAGGGAGATGGGGTGATGTGTGACTGAAATGGGGTGATGGGTGACTGAAATGGGGTGATGAGTGAGGGAGATGGGGTGAAACCGTGAGGGAGATGGGGCGATGAGTGAGGGAGATGGGGTGATGTGTGACTGAAATGGGGTGATGGGTGACTGAAATGGGGTGATGAGTGCGAGAGATGGGGTGAAACCGTGAGGGAGATGGGGCGATGAGTGAGGGAGATGGGGTGATGAGTGAGGGAGATGGGGTGATGAGTGAGGGAGATGGGGTGATGAGTGAGGGAGATGGGGTGATGAGTGAGGGAGATGGGGTGATGAGTGAGGAAAATGAGATGATGAGTCAGAGAGGTGGGGTGATAAGTGAGAGAGATGGGATGAAGAGGGAGTGAAGTGGGTTCAAGAGTGACTTATAATGGAGGAGACATTCTAATGGGGGGAGGGGGGGGGGGGGGGGGGGGGGAACATGGGGAAATGAGTGAGTGGGATGGGCTGAACCCGAAAGTACTTGGGATGAGGGTAATATGCTTACAGAATTTGCAGACAGAGGTTTAAATCAGGGCTGAAACTTACTCATGAGAGGCTTTCTTGAGGTCTTCGAGAACATGCTCCATTGCCTTGTGAAACACATCTCGCCGAAACCTTTTTCCAGCCTCTGTTTTGGCATCCACGCCGGTGAGAGGGGGCAGCATAGCTACCTTCCGGTGCCCGTGCGGCTGCCATCTGTTCTTCACCGAAATACTTCCAAGGGTGCAGTATACGGGATGCCCAACTAATCGCCCATCATTGCTCAGGTTGGTTGCATCAGTATAGATGATTACCGGTACAGCTAGCGCTCCTATTGGAACCTTGGATTGCCATTCAATCCAGCAGTTTCCCGTTTCTGGCCCTGCATAAATACGCTTACCATCCCGAGTGTAAAGCGCTTGAGGCATGTGAACAAAGGCCAAATGATTTTCGCGGTCGGAAAACATAGATCCCACAGCCTTCGCTAGAGAAGTAACGTACAGAGTCGCACTAACATCGGTCCCCAAACTGACATCTATAGCCTCCCACTCCTGTATCCCGGTCATCTCAGCCAACATCTGCTTCTCGTACTTCTCCAAGGCAGCTCTGTTCTTGAAAGAAGGTTTTACAAAACGGCGATCATGCATGACTGCTAGAATCAAATTGAGAAAGCTTGCTTTCTGTTCTAGCAATGGCAACGTGCTTCATTAGAGGCAACGTGCTTCATTAGAATTGCAGTAATTACAGCATTCTCGTCCAACCATAAATCATACATGTAAATGATCAGGGTGGGTGGGTGGGGAGAGGAACTGCAAAGTTCCAAAATGAAGACGTGGGTGGAGGCCGAATGGCCTCCAACCCTCTTAGATATTCGGCGAATGGTAATTCACAGTTGCCTTGCTGCGCTACAGTCAGCTGCGCTTTCACAATACGCATTTTTAGAAAGTGTTACACACTTTCGAAAAAAATCATATTGAGAAAACTTGCTTTCTGTTCTTGCAATGGCAACATGCTTCATTAGAATTGGGTCGTCTGAGACATGTGTGGTTGGGGACGTTGAGGACGTGTAGTTGCGATTGATGGCGTCGACGAAGTGCTGAGAGGGGTGCCGTTTGTAATTGCGCTCTTTGTGTTGATAGGGTTCGGAATGTTGTGCATGGAGATTGCTCGTTCCCTGGGTGTGGTGGATGTCCTGGTTGTTGGTGCGGCAGTAGAGTAGAGTGTGTTGAACTGGTGGTAGTTGGTGTTTTCGGGCGTGTCCGAAGTGACCATGTAGCTGGATGTCGGTGCATGTCAGCCCTCGATGAATAATTGCGACCGCCAGGATTCGCCGACATCTGTTGTTCACTGTTGAGGATGTGAACGAGCTGACGGATTGATAACAAAGCACGATAACATGCGAGTGATTTCTATGTGACGGATTGAGCAGCAACTGCATTTTTTCTGAATGAGTTTTAGTGTCATGAGATGCCTTTCATGTTCGCAGGTGTTCGCTGGAACACACCAAAGGACAAAACTCCCACGGAAGGAAGGATGCCAACTGGCGCAGAACCATCAGGAGGAGAAATCGCAACTAGGGAAGGAGGTTGGGTAGCTTGGGATGGGTGTAGTCTGAGGTGTAAGGGATGCGCTAGGAAGAGTACAATATGAACGCTAGTCAAAAATATCGACCGGTAGGAAAATTCATCCATGCCATCATTTGGAATATGGATTTCGTTTCACAAAAACGATAAGTTATTGTATAGCAACGCTCTTTCAACCGAACACTCGCTTGTCTCCGTTGCCCTACGAGTATAATGGCCGATATCTTCAGTCGTTGACTAGAGCTCGATGCATCCCTATAGTTCTTTATGTAGAGTACCGCAACGCAGATCTTGGTGTGTCAAATGGTATGAGGATCTGACCATCAACGGAGTTGATCTACGCAGGTTCGATAACCTTGATTAGACGACTGTGTGAGCACCTCCAAAATACTCTATGGCCATGCAGGGCCTAATAGTGTGCTTGCTAGCCAACGACGATGTGAATCACACGCAGATGGGAGCGAGTTTGGGCAATGTGCTTCCATGTTCACCGCATGGTGCATATGTCCAAGCATATATACGGTATTATGAGAAGTTGGACTCCTATTTCCCTTGATCAACAGTGAAAGATGACTCTTCTCAGCAACCAAAATCGTATAAATATCTCCATTATAAGGCCACAATAAGTATCATACCAGCCTCCCTTCCTTGGGGAACAACCCTCTGGCCATCAAGGACCTTCTGCTCCTTTCCCCTGGGGAAATGGCCCTCTGACCACTAACGGGACCTTGGGTGTCGAATATGAAACAATGAAATCTGCTACGGTATTATGCGATTGACATTTCAATGTGATGTGCGCTTCAAACAGTTTGATGCTCCCGACTAACTACAGAGCGAGTGTCTGAACTTGAACTGGATACCATAGTAGGGGAAGCTGTTTGGCGTGGTGGTTAGACGAGAACTTCATGAAGAGTCAATCCGTAACTCCCAACGGTGCATCCATGTTGATTCGATGCGCGGACTGCTGATGGGTACCCAACATTCCTTAATCATTGAGAATCATGTACCTCGCTTGCCAAGCATGTACCGGTATGATAGAACAAGGTGGATGTGCAGTGCACGATGGCGAAAGCCTTATCCCTTCCGCATTGCCCTCATGCAAAGAAAACAATGATTGAGGTTGAGGTTAGGTGTGTGTAACCAGTGAGATTCAAAAACCTTCCATAGTTGCCCTTTACCAACCAAACATTTGTAATCAGATCGCTCCGATCAAATTCTCCCCTAGTTTTAGGTGGGGCTTAGAATCAACAATTTTGGGTCAAAATGCTCACGGTGGGGCTAAAAAACTCCTCGTTTCTAACTTATGAACATTGCAATAACCAAGGATGATCCACATCAATGTATACCGTACAATCAGGATCTGCGCATCCAACATTAAATCTACATGTCTTTCCTGAAGGCAATGGACTTCTCGCTAGCGCAGAACTTCGGGCCACTATTCCCTCGTACGTAAAAACAGCTCTCGAGCCACACGGGGACCCTTGGTCCCCTCTCCCCCCTAGGGGGCGGCTCTCAGGCCACCCCCCAGACCCTCGGTCCCCTTTCCTCCCTGGGGAACGGGTCTCAGCCCACACGGGGACCTTCGGTCCCCTTCCCCCCCTAAGGGACTGCTCTCAGGCCACACGGGGACCTTCGGTCCCCTTCCCCCCCTAAGGGACTGCTCTCAGGCCACACGGGGACCTTCGGTCCCCTTCCCCCCCTAAGGGACTGCTCTCAGGCCACACGGGGACCCTCGGTCCCCTCCCCCCCTGGGGGACGGCTCTCAGGCCACACGGGGACCTTCGGTCCCCTCCCCCTTTGGGGGACGGCTCTCAGGCCACGCGGGGACCCTCGGTCCCCTCCCCCCCTGGGGGACGGCTCTCAGGCCACGCAAGGACCCTCGGTCCCCTCCCCCCCTGGGGGACGGCTCTCAGGCCACGTGGGGGCCCTCGGTCCCCTCCCCCCCCCCTCTGGGGAATGGCTCTTAGGCCAC